ACTGAGGAAAACAGACATGAATCTAAGGATTGTGGCACCCATTCTTTTATCATCAAAAGACCATAGCTCTTCTGCTTGTTGAAGAGAATAGCAATATCCTGGAGATAGGAGAGGTGGTGGTGCCAACACAAGTCAAGGATTTGAGACCCAACAGCCTTATCAAAATGCTTCTCTAACTGTCAGACTGGGAAGTAACATTTAATGTAAAGTTCCAATAAGTATTAAAGCTTCAGAAAGGAAAGAGTTCATGTAGGAATAATGAACACAGGACTCCCCTGACTTTCAACTTGTCTTCTGGGAACAGAGAATCTGCAGGGGAAACTGTTCTTCTTGAGCAGAGCAATGTCCCATGGGGAATGTTTTGCCCAGGGGTTGCAATAGCAAGACAGAGATGTGAGCAGTGAGAAGTTCTAAGGAGCCATATGTAGTCTCACTGCTCCTGTCCCTCAGAATGAGCAGCCTTGGGAAAGGCAAGTCACAGTTGTGTTTTTCAGAGCCCTAAGTCTCGCTCAGGGACCAATGCTGGACCTGTTCCTACTGTCTCTTCTGGGAATCTAGTTTCCTCTCCATCTTTAATTATTCACGGAGGAGTTAGGATCTCCACACAGAGAACTTCTTCTCAGAGATCTCATCTAGGTCAATCTGATAGTCCAACAGTTGCTGCAGGAGGGGTTCAGAGATTGGAAGCTGCTGACTTGTAGGTACCTGAAATGCCCTGGGAACCACGCTACCTCAGCCCTGAGCTGAGAGATTGCAGTTTGCAGGGCTGTTTTCTGGGATGGCTTAATTAATGCATTTATGTACTATGCATGATTTTAGAAAATGGTGTGTCAATCGAGCTCAGCGTCTTAGGGTAATAGCTGACCATGACATGAATGTAATGGAAGTAGAGTTAGAAAAGGGAATGAGAGATTGATGTTATTTCTGTAAAAGTCAAACATGTTTCCAAGGATTTTTTTCAATTTTGGCATGTACAGAAACTGGGCATTAGCTATGGTGGGACATAGAGTTAAGTAAGATCATCTCATTCTATTAGTATGATGGGACACTTTTGTCTATGCTACTCCATTAAAAAATGTATTTCTTCCAAATGTGGCCTGGTAAGAATAGTTTATATGTCATCCATATTACTCTATCTACTCTTAAGCTCTGCATTCACATTTCAAAATTCATTTCGTAGGTAAAATACAATACACTAGTGAGAGTTTTGAAATTATTTCTCTATTGTGGGAGCAACTATGGGTTTATTGGGTCATTACCTTTTCCACTGCAAACTTGTGTTGAAAATTTTTGATTGTGTATTATCAGTATATGATTATGACACATAACATTCACATCCATCTTGATGAGTTGGTACACACATGTATTACACTGTATTATTGTCTTCATTGAATTCTTTTTTCTTACTGAGTTTATTGGTACATTTTAGGTATACAGTACAGTTACATTCATTGTTGGGATCTTGTACCTCTACATGACAAGTCTTGGTTCTCATTTTCTCCCTTGTCCCTGCCTGCCCTTCACCCCCTCCTCCCCTCCACATTTGCAAACACTTTATTTCCATTTTTTCATTTTCTCATATTTTTTTCTTTTCACTTATTACCTTTCCCCTACCCTTCCCACTTTCCATACACATTTAGCCCCTTTCTTCCTGTATTTCATTCTTTGAAACTTAAGCATTGAGCTTTGCCACTAACTCTATTGCTTTCAATTTTGTTTATAATTGAATTATTTAAGAGAAATGTGTGAAAGCTTACAAAATTTATGTCATCACATGTAATTTCTGATTTTATCGTATTTCTCTCACTTTTTCAAGTAGAAAATTCATTTACATCATTCTAGTAAATAACATAAGAAATGCATGCTTCTAACTTGTTTATAAATCTCTGTTTTTCCTAATTGTACCTTTTATGATTACATCTATTTTTAAAAGTTAAATTAACTCAGGCATCACTGGTTGCTTTTCCATGTCATTTGATTGCAAATTACTTTTATCATCATGAGGGTTGTTTAATCTTTATTTATTTATATATGGTAAAATTATATATTTAGATACTACTTCTACTGAAATTTTAAATATCTTGCTCTAATTTCTAAGATTTTTTGCAATTTAATCTGAAGTTAGTGCATGATGTTAATACTGTTAAATAATTACTATTTTGTAATTACATAAAGTTCATGTAGTTATTCCATTTTTGTTTCATACCGTTGTTTGGAAGGCATGAATTTAATTACATTCTCACAGCCATTCATGGTCCCTTAAGTTCTTCGATTATCTCAAAATTTATTTTTCTATATGACACACATTCACAGTTATGCACTGTTTATTTAGATGCCTGGTTAAGCTTCGAGATACACTGTAAATACTTTTTATTCTCAATGCAATCTTCTTTCAGTTTGTGCTCTCCTGAGCTTCCTGCTCAATATAGTACCTTAAGGAATTCTCTCCTTTGGTTCTTCATTACAAAAATGTGTGATTATTTTGTCTGTTGGAAAATGTATGTTTGATTTTTACTATTTTTGCTGGACATTACAAGCATATACCTGGAATTGGAATTCCACCAGAAAGATGGACGTTCCATATAATCCCCCTCTATTTGCTGAGCATATGTTTGCTTCTGTACAAATATAAGACAGGTACTTCCCATAAAAATATAGACCTCTATAGTTATACATAATGAGATATTGATGAAGTGGAGTTTTTAGATTCTATTTCTATATTCTTAGGAAAAAGTTAATTTGATGATAACTTGTCTCATATCAATTTATTTCTAATAATATGGTTGGGGTAAGATGAACATAGTATAAATACAATGTGCTCTCTGTGAATATATGTTTATGAGTGTGTGTGTGTTTTGGTGATGAGGATAATTTCAGAGAAAGGATTTCTAGACACAGTATTAATATAGATCCCAGCATGTGGATATTTCTTGCTTTTATGATAGAACAATACTCATTCCAAGGAAATTGCACTCTAATTTTTTCCTTTACTCAGATTAGTAATGTGTTATCATGCCCTTCCACAATGCCAGGTACCTGGAGCAAGTCATTCAGCCACACTATCATAAGAGAAAACAACCTGAAACCATAGTGTACACTGTTACTCAGCAAGGATTTTTTGGTAGGTAATATGAATTAAATGCTTTTTGACTTATGTAACCTCAACCTGCAATGATTGAATCAGGATATAATACTGTCAGAAGTCAAAAAACTTTAGAACTCTAAATGGTAATTCATAATACAGAGGCCAGAATTCAAACAACAAATGTAAAAAAAAATTACTTAGAGAGATATCTTTACAATTTAACAAAGAGCAAAAGAAAAACCTTTGGTCAGAGGGAGAAATTTTCTTGAGATTTTTCAGTGGCAACAAGCTTACTCATTCTTCAGTGTTTTTATGTATTCCAGTATATTTTTAATTTACACTTAATATTGGTGCCTAACCATGGGGTCCAGTATGTAATTGGTTACATGCATGCAGAGTGTAATGATGAGTATTTTATTATACACATATGCTACATTTTAATTATTAATCCATTGGTGGAAATTTAGGTAAATTTCATATCTTTTTTACTGAGAATGATGCCATTATGCATATAGATAGTATCTCTTTCATGTTTGCATTTCATATCCTGTGAGTATACACACAGACTTCTTCAGTATTTTCTAACACCTCTCATTACTCTCCTTTTTTTAAAATTAAATTAAATTATTCTTACATATTACCTCATTTGACTTCTGTAAGATCCTAATGAGCTAAACACAATTATTCTCATATTTTACAGCTCAAGGATATGGGAAATCTGTGTGTTTAATTATAATTTGTATGAAATAACAACAAAGGTAATTAACACCACTGAGATTTTTTAACTTGATAGGTTGATCTAAGCTCTGTGATCTTATGACCTACACAAAATGTTTATCTTCTAAATATAAGATTATATCTTATTATATACACTACAAATGAAAATTATGGTGCAGATGTGGCTGCAATAAGAGATTTTCAAAACCTCTTAATTTTAATAGGTATACTGACTCTGCATGTTTTGTGGTAAAATGTAATATACAGTGGCTAGAATATTCATCTCAAACATTTACTACTTTCTGTGTTGGGAAGATTCATTATCATCTCTACCTATTTCAAAATATGCAAATATGTATTTTTAATTGTAATGTTTTTTAAACTGTGCTGCAGAGAACTAGACAGTAATTTTTCTCAGTGTGTTCATGTACTCACTAATTGATCTCATTTATACTCCCTTTCTCTGTGCTTCACAACCTCTATTACTACTGTAATAATCTTAGCTTCTAGGAGACCAACATTTTTGGCCTCCACACATGAGTCACACCCCAAGCTCTTGCTCTTTTTTTACAGTAACAGTCCTCCTTCTTGGCCTTGAACAACTGAACAAAGCATGTTTTTGTGGGTTTAGCACTGTCTGTTCCTCCTGCAGACACACAGTTCCCCAGAGAACCTGTGGCACTCACCCCATCTTCCTTGAGTTCTTTGTTCAAATATAATACTATGTACTGTCTGGCTTAAAGATAATTTAAAGAAAATAAAAAATAATGAACATCCATATGGGGTCTATTTTCATTTTCTTTCCATTTGTTCCAGGTATTTGTCATGATCTCATATCTTATAAAAGGTTTAAAGTTTGCTTCTGTAGTTTCTCCATCATTAAATTTTATGTACAATACTTATTTTTGTACTGTTCACATATCATCTAAACAGTTCTTTTAATAAGGTTTATATTCAATTCATAATTTTCTAATGTACACACTTGTTTTGAATTATAATAAGAGAGCACTTGATCTCTTAACCCTAATCTGATCAGTTGAATGAAATTCCTCATTACAGATTACAAAATGATCAAATAAAGGGAACCAATAAATACAAGAAACATAAAAATGATGTATTGACTACAGAAAATATATGATGTCATTTATGAAAAGTTACTGTCTCCTCTCCTTTTCTCTCTGCAGGTTACATCAACATTATGAAATCAAATAATTACAGACAAATCACAGAATTTGTTCTTTTGGGATTTTCAGATTATGCAGAACTTCAGCCTTTGCTGTTTGGTATTTTCCTGTCCATGTACCTGGCCACTGTGTTAGGGAACCTGCTCATCATCCTGGCCACAGTGTCAGACTCCCACCTGCACACACCTATGTGCTTCTACCTCTCCAACCTCTCCTTTGTGGATATCAGTTTCACCTCCAACACAGTGCCAAAGATGCTGGTGAACATCCAGACTCAGAGCAAAGTCATAACTTATGAAGGCTGCATCACTCAAGTGTATTTTTTTGTACAACTTATAACATTGGACAACTTTTTGTTGAGTGTGATGTCCTATGACCATTATGTGGCCATCTGCCACCCTTTGCATTACACGGCCATCATGAACCCCCAGTTTTGTGTGTTGCTGGTTCTACCATTATGGATCCTGAATGTCCTAAATGCTCTGTTACACAGCTTAATGGTATTACAGCTGTCCTTCTGCTCTGACTTGGAAATCCCACATTTCTTCTGGGAACTTAATCAAATAGTACACTATGCCTGTTCTGATACCTTTCCTAATGATGTGGTGACATATGTTGCCATTGCGCTGCTGGCTGCTGGTCCCCTTGCTGGCATCCTCTACTCTTATTTTAAGATAGTTTTCTCCATATGGGCAATCTCATCGGTTCAGGGGAGATATAAAGCATTTTCCACCTGTGCATCTCACCTTTCAGTGGTCTCTTTATTCTGTGGCACAAGCCTAGGTGTGTACCTTAGTTCTGCTGTCACTCAAAACTCATATGCAACTGAAACAGCCTAGGTAATGTACACTGTGATCACACCCATGCTGAACCCCTTCATCTACAGTCTAAGGAATAAGGACATCAAGAGTGCTCTGAAAATATTATTTAGGAGGGCAACTGGGAGCTAGATAATATGAAATTAAGATTGTTTTTTTTCCCTATTCTTTAAAAATAACTTGTTTTCATATAATTTCGGCCTATATGAAAGTACAGATATTGTCATGTTACAGTGAAAATACAAATGTGAACAAATTGGTTACAGTCCTTGCTCATTTGTAGTTTGTCTTTTAGTGGTAAACATGGAATATAGTCATATAAGTATTTTACATCTTTTTTCTCATCTGGGAAAATGAAATGAAAAAAGTTATTGAGTCTAAAACAGTATGATTTGTACAATATGTGCAATATTTCATACAATCTTGTCTTGAGAGTTCTTATTATGTTTGATAAAGACCAGAATTAGGAAGAGATTGTGTCCCTTGGACTAGTGTAAAAAGAATTCAAAACCAAAACCCAGGAATAACAAATAAAATATATCATATAAAATATAAGAATGGTCCCTGCCTTATTTTCTTTACACTATATGAAAAACAACAGGGCAAATAAATACTGAATAAATAATGAACACACATGTCTTTTATTTTTAATTAACATAATAGTTTCACACATTTATAGGGCACAGTGTTTATTCATATATTTACTGTTCAATGATAAAATCAATCTAATTAGCATGATCATTATCTCAATCAATGATCAGTTTTAGGATTGGGGTATTCAAAATTCTGTCCTAGATATTTTGAAGCATACCATGGTGGCTTCTGTTGTACTCCCTACTTCTATGGGATAAATTTTTCAGCTCGCACATATGACTGAGGACTTTGGTATTTGTCTGTATGGAGCTGACTTATTTCACTTAGCACAATGTCCCTCAGGGTCAATCAGTGGGTCACAAATGAAAAAAGTTTTAAGGCTGAAAACTGTTTTATTTTCTCTATAAATCACGTTTTCTTTATCTGTTCATCTATAATTGGATACTTAGGTTGATTCCCTGTACTGACTACTTTTAATACTAGTGCAATTAATACACAAGTGCAATTGTTTCATCAAGGTAATAATTTGTTTCCTCTGTATGTATTCCCAATAATGAGTGGTACATGTTGCCTGAAGTGGTAGCTCTGTTTGTTTGCGTGTTTTCTTCCCTGAGGGATCTGTAAACGTAGTTCCATAGAATTATTTCAATGAACGTTCCTATTGAAGAATATGAGCTTTCCTCTTTTCTCCACATTTTCAACATGAGTTTTTTTTTTTTTATCTTTTTGATAGTAGCTTCTCTACATGGGATGATATGGCACATCTCAATGTGGTTCTTATTATGAATCTTTACATATTTAACATGCTTGTTGAACATTTATATATCTTTTTGAGAAGTATCCAATGAGATAATTGGTCAAATTTTAAAGCAGATAACTTATTTCCTGTTGACTTTTTATCTTTATTAATTTTATTGGTACATTTTAGATGTATAGCGCAGTTACACTAATCATTGGTATCTTGTACCTTTACATGATTTATCTTCATTCTTATTTTTCCCCATTCCCCAGCTCTCTCTTCAGTCCCTCCACCATTCCCTGTTTACAAAAACAGTGTTTCCATGCTAATCCTTTTTTCAAATTTTTCCTTTTTACGTTTCCCCTACAACTCCCACTTCCTCTATACTTGTAGACCTTTTCCTCCTATTACAAAATATCAATTAAACATTTTATCCTTATTTATACTTTTAATTTTGCATAACAGAGAAACTATTCGGTACTTCCACATGTGACATTAATTTCATTTAAGAGTATGGCCTTGTGCATCCACTTAGCTACAAATATCTTTAGTGGGCCAGGGATTTAGCTTAGTGGTTCAGTGGCCTGCTTTGCAAGCTCAAGGTACCAAAAAACAAACAAACAAACAAATATCTTTAGTTTCTCATACTTTATGGCTGAGTAGTACTCCATTTTATTTTTTAAAAAATTATCCGGGCTCAAGTTGATGGGCAATTGGGCTGTTTCCAAATTTTAGCTATTACAAACTGTGCCACTGTAAACATGGGTTAACATATATCACTGTGGCATGATTCTTTTAATTCTTTTGGGAAGATACCCAGCAGAGGGATAGCTGAGTCAAATGCTATGTTTAATCCTAGTTTTTTGAGGTATCTCCATGTTGATTTCCACAGTGGTTGCACCAGTTTACATACAACCCCACCAACAACAAAGAAAGGTTACTATTTCCTGACGACCCCACCAAAATTTTTATTGGTTGATTTCTTGATAACAGCCATTCTTACTAGGGTGAGATTGAATCTAAATATTGTTTCATCTGCTTCTCTTTCATGACAAGTGATCTTGAACATTTTTTCATATTATTATTTGCTGCTTTTACTTCTTTGAAAAATGTCTGTTCACTTAAGATGCCCATTTTTGAATCAGGTCTTTATATTGGGTGGACCTTTTTTAAATTTCTTTATATATTATGTATAGTAGGCTTTTGTCTGAGGAAAAGCTGTTAAAAATTTTTCACATATTGTGGGCTGTCTTTTAGCTCTGCTTGTGATTTCTCTGGCAGTGCAGAAACTTTTTTTAAAAAATGAGATCCAAATTGTTGATTCTTTGTGCTAGTTTCCATGCTACTGAGGATTTATTAGCAAAGTATTTTCCTATACTAATATCTTCAAGAGTTATGCCTAACTTAACTTCCAGCAAGTTTAGTGTTTCTGTTTCAATATTTATATCTTTAATCCACTTGGCTTTTAGTTTAGTGCACAGTGAAAAATAAGGGTCTAGTTTTAATCTTTAAATTATTTGATTTCCTTGAATATTCTGTGTACTGACCACTTTTTTTCATTGAGTTAATTGGTATTTTTAAATATAAAGTACAGTTAGATTTATCATTGGGATCTTATACCTTTATATGACAGATCTTGGTTCTCATTTTTTCTCATACACCTGCCCTTCCTTCACCCCCTCCATCTCCTATTTACAAAAACTTTGTTTCCATTTTTTCCTTTTCTCATATTTTTTCTTTTCCTTTATTTCCTTTCCCCTGCCCTTCCTACTTCCCCTATAGCTTTGGCTCTTTTCTTCCTATTTCACTTTGTCAGTTATATAATTTGGATCTTATTTACACTTTTAGTTTTTCACACCAAATAAACTATTTGATATTTACACCTGTGTGTCTTATTTATTTCACTTAAGAGTATGGCCTCAATATGCATCCATTTTCCTATAAATGACTCTACTATCTTATGATTTATGGCTGAATAGTACTGTATTTAATAAAAAAAAATCACATCTTCTTATCCAGTCTCCAAATGATGGGCATTTGGGTTGTTTCTAAATTTTAGCTATTACAAACAGTGCTGCTCTAAACATGGGTGTGAATATATCACTGTGGTAAGATTCTCTTAATTCTTTTGGGAAGATACTCAGCAGAGTAATAGCTGGGTCAAATGGAACCTCTGGTTCTAGTTGTTTAAGGTTCTTCATATTGATTTCCAGAGTGGTTGCACCAGTCTGCACTCCCACCAACAATGGAGAAGGGTTCCTTTCTCCCTACAACCCCACCAACATTTGTTATTGGTTGATTTCTTAATAGCAATCATTCTTTCTGTGATGAGGTGGAATTTCAGTGCTGTTTTCATCTACATCTCTCAAATGAGCAGTGATGTTGAACATTTTTTCATATATTTATTTGCCACTTTTACTTCTTTGAGAAATGTCTGTTCATTTCAGATGTCCATTTTTAAATTGAGTCTTTATATTTAGGGGCATGATTTTTTTTTAGTTCTTTATTTATTCTAGATAATAGTCCTTTGTCTATGGAGCAGCTTGTAAAATTTTTCCCACATTGTAGGTTGTCTCTTAGTTCTATTGATGGTTTGTTTTGCAGTTCGGAAGCTTTTTAATAAGATGAGATCCCAGTTGGTAATTCTTTGTGCTAGTTCCCATGCTACTGAAGATTTGTTCATAAAGTCTTTTCCTATGCCAATGTCTTCAAGAGTTCTGCTTGGCTTATCTTCCAGCAAATTTAGTGTTTCTTTTTTAATATTTAGATCTTTATTCCACTTGAATTTCAGTTTAGTGCAAGTTGAAAGATACAGGTCTAGTTTTAATCTTTGACTTATTTGACTTCCTTGTATATTCTGTGTACTGACCATGTTTAGATAAATAGTTTGCAAATATTTTCTCTCACTGTGTAGCTGGTGTCTTTACTCTTAATCATTTTACTTGCTGTTAAATTCTCTCTTTTGTATATAATACCATCTGACTATTATCCTTATTGTGGTCTGTATTTTCATTTTTCTACCCAATATATATGCATATATTTTTTACCAGGGACCAAACTCGGGTCCTTGCACTTGTGTAGCAGGTGGTGGCACCACTGAGCTAAATTTCTGGCCAAAAGAGTATGTGAGCAAACTCCTTTTTTTCTTCTTCTTCTTCTTCTTCTTTTTTTGGTAGATGTGGGGGGATTGGACTTGGGACCTTGTGCTTGAGAGGCAGGCCACTCAGGTAATTCCCCGACCCAACCCAAAATATGTTTCTTTTTTCCTATTTTCTAGAATGTTTGTTTTGTGAACTCTTTTAGTAATTTCAGTTTTTTCAGAGCTAACATTTAGCATTTATATCTTTTGTGCAATTTATTTGATTTTTTCATATAACTGAAATAAAGGTATAGTCTCATTATTTAATGAATATGTAGTTTTCAACAACATTCACTGAAGAAAATATTCTGTGTCCAATGCATATTCTGGGCACAGTTGTTGGAAATCATTTTTGGGCAAATAAATGAAGACATTTCTATTTTTTTCACTTTTCCATTTATCTATATGTTTTCTAAAATTTTTATTAATATATAGTTGCAGTACATAGTGATTACTTTCCTTGTAGAGAATTTGGACATATATATGTCTTAGTTTCTTTTTCGTCTCCTTCACTTTCCTTCCATCTATCTCCTTACTTGTGATTATCTT